TTGTACTGTGTCCTCTTTCTCATGTAGAAGGTTCTACAGCTTGGTGGGTTGCAACGGGGAGAAGAGGACTCTATATAATAATAGAAGTTTGCTAGTATGACCCTGGATTCTATCTCATGTCTTCCATACCCAGCTCTTGTTTATGTGGATTTGTTGAAGGGGTGGTAGGTGGGAGAAGGTCTAATTAAAACAGAACAGAACAAAACAAAACAAAACCACCAAGTTGACACCTGAAATCTGCTCCTTCCTGATATAATCTGACCAAATAGCACTCATGGAACAATTCCTTCTGCAGGTATCTACCCTGAATACTCATGTTGTGAAGAAGTACTATAAATTAATAAGGACGCAAAAGCTTTTCCCTAATCACTGTCCAGGAAGTAGATGGATCTTGATTTGCAGTGCTCAAATGCTCTTTACCTCTTCAGTGCCTGCATCAACTATCAGGAGCATAAAAAATACTGCAGAGCGGGATCAGCAACATGACACTAAGGACTAAAGCTCAGTTCCAACAAGGATAATTCCCTAATGCAGGGTTCCTCAACCTTGGCAACTTTAAGACAGGTGGACTTAAACTCCAGCCAGGGGAATTCTGGGAGTTGAAGTTCACCCGTCTTAAAGTTGCCAAGGTTGAGGAACCCTGCCCTAATGTAATCCAGATCACTGACAGCAGCTACAGAACTTGCCCTTATGTTCTGCTGATAATCACTGGCATTTTAGTCATTTCCATATTCTTTAGAATCCTTTCAAATAGACAGAGGCTGTAGCTCAGGGAAGAGCACTTGGATTCCAAGCTGATGGTAACAGATTCAATCCCTGGGGTCTCCAGAGGCAGCTAAAAATCCTGTTTCCAAAACTAGACAGCCATTGCCAAGGAATGTCAACAACACCGGGCTAGCTGAACCAATACTCTGACACAGTATGAGGCAGCTTCTGACATTCCTAATTCTTGGTTGACAATTAATGATAAATTATAGAATCTAGTTTTATAGACTGTTCCAGTTTTAAAGCAATTTGCTCTCATTTCAATGGTTCTTATTGGTTGTTCTGTGGCATTTTAGATCAGATCTCAGTACCTCACCTCAGAATTGTATATTTGCCCGAGACAAATATTAACTGAATCCCATTATACAGGAAGTTTTAACTGATATCATTTCAAGATCTTTTCCAATCCGAAATAACTTTATTGTTTTATAGGAAGGACAAGGTAAAGGAATTGACACAAATACAGGAGACATGCAAATGAAGATCCTATAGCTTCAAAACAGCTGCTTCTTGCTATGAATGATAAAGAATGATGAAAAGGTAGATAAATGGTAAGGAATAGTGAAGAATGGTAAAACGAGTTGTGAGTTTCAGCTCCTCTAACAACCTGCTAATGCCT